ATACTTGTAGATTTAAAAATAAAACCGCCAATAGCTGGCTGCAAGTCGCTGTCTTAATGAGCCAGGCATCGCGTCATTCATTCATTCATTCAGTAACGAAGCAAAATGCTGAAGTTATGAATGGGTTATTAATCACTGACGCTCCGAATCATTCAAAGCCGCAGATTCGTTCACTAATGAAACATCTGTATGTTGCTTAGAGACGCACACCAGATGATACGGATTTCGTTGGAATTATTATTTTTTTGTTGCAAAATAACAAACATGACAATATTCTGTTTAAAATGTAGGCTACATTTTAAATGTAAAATGTTCCAGAAAGACATGTTCAGTTTTAATGTTACTTTAAGTTGGGGTAGAATTAAATGAATGCCAAAACTCATAATTTTGTTCGCATACCCCAGTTTGAGAACCACTGCATTAAATAGATTAAAAGTGATAGTAAAAGAATACTGGAAAAAGTGTACCATGGTTTCCACAAAAAATATTAAGCAGCACAACTGTTTCCAACATTGATAATAATTATAAACATTTATTGCACCAGATCAGCATATTAGAATGATTTATGAAGGATAATGTGGCACTCAAAGCTTTGGCATGACAGGGATTTTTTATTTTTTTTTTATAATAAAATTGAAATCAAAATATTAAATAACATTTTAAATTGTAGATAATATTTCACAATATTACTGTTTTAATGTATTTTTGATCAAATAATTCTTAAACTTTTAAAAGTTGGTGTATATTGCTAATTTGTTCATGTTAGCTAATGCATTACAAATGAGACATTGTAAAGTGTTACTACTATTAGTAGAACAATACATTTTTAGAGGCTATTTTCTGCTGCTTCAAAAAATGTGCGTATTTATGCTCTAATTTTATTCCTATGTGTGTGTGTTTGTTAGATTATCACTGCCTTAGAGGAAGACACCACCGCACAGAAGATGCAGCTTGGCTACCGGCTTCAACAGATCGCTGCAGCTGTAGAAAATAAAGTGACAGACTTGTGATCATGGACAAAGTAAAGTGAAAGTAATAAGTGTGAAGACACTGATGGGTGGCTGTATGAACACATGGTACAGGTACTTTAGGTACAGTATCAATTGCAACGCTACCATGTGAAGCAAGTATACACAAAGATCGTGTTCCGTTTAGCTGTATTAAATTGGACTCTACTAACGAAGATAAATTAAGACCCACAGTGTAATGTGATGTGTTGGTTTAGAAGGGTGGAGCCTTTAACTTGAATATGGTCTTGGATTTTTTTTTTTTTTTTAATATATATATGGAATATGGTTATTCCCATTTCAGTCCTTTTCATTTTAAAAAGCCTGGATGCCTTGTTGAGTTCATGAATACATTATACTCCCAGTGGAGGGATTTTTTTCTGCAGGATTAACATGAAAACCACATATACATGCTCAAACTCTTGCTTGGTCATGCCCTTACAACAGAACACCATTAGATGTTCTGTACTCTGTCTACCTCCTCGCTTTGTATCTACCAATGTGTTTATGTCAAAATTTCTTGTGGCTGTAGTAATTTTGTAACATTTGGTTGTAACATTTGAATGTGATTCAGCATTTGCAAAGTTGGTAAAACTGTCAAAGCAAAAACATACCACGACTGACTGAAGTAAAATGTTATAGAACATTTTCAGCTCATTAGGATATTGTAAATTGTCATAATGTTCAGTAAGTGTCACTGGAAAGTACAGTATGAAAGAGTCTATGTTTTGTTAACTTTTTAAAATGTATAAATCTTGACTAGTAAGACCAAGTCTAGCAGACTTGTTACATAAAGTGTCATTGTTTCAACTAGTCAGGTCAAATAATGTTTAGCCAATGTTTTTTTTAATTTTTTTATTAATTTTAATCTTCTTTAAGCCTTTTTTTATTTCAGGTGCCAACATAGGATTGAATGAATTAATCATCTCTTACCACATCCTCTAACATTTCATCAGTATGGAATTTTAAAGACTGACACTTTTATGTAGGTAAATTTAAAGGATAGAAATCTCTAGCCTTCATGTGAGAAAATATGATCTGTATTGTATGTAAAGTTGTGCTCAAATATATTAGTGCTGGTCCACTGTATAGGTAAATAGACCACTCACTTGCAATTAATTTCTTTTGATCAAACACTGAATTATCACAAAAATGTGAGATAAATAGAAATTGTCAGAGAAAAGATGTGACCGTGTCATATTTACTAATATTTTAGTGTAGTACAATGTAAATAATGACTGAATTGTTACGTAGCTTCTTAGCAAATTCAAAAAGAGTAAATTATTATAAGACTTATAAACTGTTCTTTAAAAGAGGTTTAACAATCAGCTTACAAGTTTAATGTTAAGCTGTTCTATAGGTTTTTGGTTCTGAATGTATGTGAATTATGGGAATACAAATGAACGATTACTTGATACAGTGTCTTTTCCATAACATCACATGAAAACTAAAGTGATTGTGTTGGGCGTTCAAGGTGAACTTGATGGCATCAGTTTAATAATTAGGATAAATAAAGTTTAAATTTGGAGAGCTCTGCCAGTCTCTGTTCTTCTTGGTGCTTCAAACTCATTTGGTATTAATAATGTTTATTAGGACTAGTCTGACATAATTTCCCGTATTGTCTTTTAATTAAGCGGTTATCTTTTGAGAATGACACTTTGCATAACTGCCCACCCCCACTGCCCACTGAATGCTTATAAAATACAATGCATCCTTCCTTCGTTAGACTTTATGACAAGCGTGAAACTGCACTTTCTCAAGGAATCCTGCTGAAGATATTTCAGAGTATCTTGGTTCCACAGTCCAAAGTCAAGCAGGTTAGGTGAATTGGAGAATATGGATTGCCCTTCTTTGTGAATATGTGTCTTTGTGTGTTAGCTCTGTGATGGACTGGTTACCTGTCAAGGGTGTATTCCTGCCTTCCGCCTGAGACACTGGAATGTACTCCTGTGACCCTACATAGGGGAAATGTCATAAGAAAGTTGAACCATACCTTGCTCCTACAGAGCTACAATCCTGCAGATTTCAGCTCCAACCAAAATGAAACACACACAATCCAGCTAATCATGGAGTTGAGGGGAACTTGAAAATTCTATCAATAAGTAGCCCTTCTTGGTAAAATATTTGGGCACGTCTAATTTACATACACTACCAACATTGTAACAATGCAAAGCTGGTTGAAAATTGGTGAACTTATCCTTTAAAGGTATGTTTAAACCTGTATGAATTTCTGTCTTCTGTGGAACAAAAAAGACAGTATTTTTTTGTTTTTGTTTTTTCGTCCAGACAATCAAAGTCAATAGGGTCCAATGTGAGGGGTGTACTCACTTCTGTGAGATACTGTATGTGTATATATATATAAAAACTCCAGAAACAAAAATCATATTGTACAAACACATTTAAACATTACAAAAGCATTAACAGAAAAGTGTAACAAACAAGAAAAAAAAAACACTCCTCCTCCTTTTGGTTTTATGCCACCAACTTAATAGGTGCATACCGCCACCTACTGTGATGGAGTGTGAAGAGAAAGATTTAGATATTCCTCACATAATCCCTATTTTCTATTTTTTTAATACACTATTTCTAATAAATCTCATAATTGCATTCATTTGTTTTCCTACATTAGACCAGTGGTTCTCAATTCCAGTCCTCACCGCTCTGCACATTTTGTATGTATCTCTTATCACTTCAGACGTTTGTTCTATTCGACAGTACTTCCTGGACTTCACAGGATATTCTGCCATGAATCCAGCTCGAAGGGAGCGTATTTATGTAACGAGATAATATTACAGTTCTATGATTCAAGTAAATCCTGCGTTAAGAGTTCGAACAGTCTGCAGCAGAGCTATGGAGAACGCTAGTTATGTATGTAACTGTGGTTTTGTGAATTCCGGATGACCGCCAGAGGCGGTGCTTAAGTACTAGTGGATTATCGCAGCGCCAACTCGATAGTTTGATATAATATACCAAAAAAGTCACGTGGTGACGTAGGCCGGGCCTCAAGTAAAATAGACATACTACCTCAGCCTTCGGTTTCGGTGCGCCTTTCTCGCGCATTCCGAGTGACAAATAACTCTGGCGGTCATCCGGAATTCACAGAACCACTGTTTTATACGTAACTAGCATTCTATTTCATTCCTCCTGACCGCCAGAGGTGGTGCTTAAGCACTAGTTGATTACTCCTACCAACATCGTCATGAGGAATGCCACTCACCTGAAAAAATTCAAGGTTTCTCCTGAAGAACTGCTGAACTTGACAGCATGAGGGGTAGCAACGTTGAGTTTGTAGAAGCGGGCAAAAGTACATGGGGAAGCCCAAGTGGCAGCAGCACAGATATCCGCCATAGAGACTCCTCTGAAAGCAATCCTCCGGCAACCAACACATACATAACTCACTAACAAACAAAGCACGTAACTCACACGCTTAGCAGAGGCAACTGCCAACAAAAAAAACAGTTTTTAAAGATATCCATTTCAGGTCAGCTGTCTGCAAAGGCTCTAATGGTGGCAGACAGACAAAATCAAGAACAAGTTTCAAATCCCATCAAGGAAAATATGGGTTACGGGCCAGTCTCAGTCGTCTTGCACCCTTCAAAAAACTGCACACAAGAGTAAGAGAACCAAGAGAAGAACCATTAACCGGAACATGATGCGCAGAAATGGCCGCAACATATACCTTCAGTGTGGAGGCTGCTTTGCCTGAATTCAAAAGATGCTGCAAAAAACTGAGAACTCCAGGAACTTCATTCCCTGGGTGCAGAAGATCCCTTGACAGAGCATCCGCTATCTGATTGCTTGATCCCGGGAGGTGAACTGCCCTCAATGATGCTAGAGATGAAGAGACCAAGTGAGTATCTTGTGGGTGAGATGCAGGGACCTGAGGGACTTTGTTCCACCCTGATGGTTTAGGTGGAACACTGTCGAGGTGTTGTCGGACCGAATGAGGACATGACGCCCTGCCAGAACTGGTAAGAAATGCTGAAGGGCTAGGAAAACTGCTCGCAATTTCAGGAGATTGATATGGTCCCTGGACCGAGTTGGAGACCAGTTTCCACAAACACCCCTGTGATTAAATGATGCCCCCCAATCCGAAGAGGGAAGCATCTTTATGTATAATCATTTTCTATTTTTAACTGTTTTAAATTAATTTTAAACCTCTTAAATCAATTTTTAAATCATTTTCAAAATTTTGTTGTGATAATTTTTTTAAATTCTTTTTTCATTTCTTTTATGTAAAGCACTTTGAATTACCATTGTGTATGAAATGTGCTATATAAATAAACTTGCCTTGCCTTGACCACCTCTCGACTAGAAGGAATGACCCCTAGGGGAACACCTGACATCAGAAACTCCCGATGGCTCCACGGTGTCAATGCCTGGATACAACTGTGCAAAACAACAATCAGCCGATGAAGATGTCTGGCAGGGTACAACTGCAAATTACACATTACACGGGAGTCCAGTGTCATTCCAATATAAGTAATTGTTTGCACTGGATTCAGACAACTCTTTGCCTCGTTTACTGCAAGACCAAGCTTCTGCATATGCTCCAAAAGCAGTCTGGGGTCGCGTGCAGCTTGTTGTTTTGTCGGTGTACACAGCAGCCAGTCTTCTAAGTAAGGCAGGATTTGCATCCCTCTGGACCACAGTGGATGTAGAGCTGCAGTCATGCACCTCGTGAAGACACGAGGGGCCAAAGACAGGTCGAACGGTAGGACCTTGAATTGGTAGGCCTGGTTCTTGAAACTGAATTGAAGAAATTTCCTGTGGTGAGGAGCAATCGGAACATGAATGTAAGCATCTTTCAAATCTATGCTTGTGAACCAATCTTCCTTTGTGACTGACCGAAGAACGTCGGCTGCACGTAATATCCGAAAGGGAAGAGTTTTCAGAAACACGTTTAGATGTCTCAAGTCTAGAACTGGACGAAAACCACCATCCTTCTTTGGAACAAGGAAGTAAGTTAAATAAAAACCGTCCCCTTGAATGCAGGGATGAACAATTTTTTTGAGAGAGGGTTTCTGAACAAACTGTATCCCTTATCACTGTAGAGATAATCCTTGAAAAATTTGGGGGCCGGCGTCGAAACTGCTGAGTATACCCCACTCGTCAATAGCCTCAGCGCAATCCTGTTTTTAAGGTGCCGGGCATTCAGGCTCGTCATCGTTTTGCGATACTAGAGCAACGATTCCGCCAGCGTTCTACACCACAACCTCAAGGGTTACAGAGGCCCCGTGCCAATGAGGACACTCAAGGTTTTCGACCTCATCAGCCGTTAAAAGTCGCACCCACAAAGCTTGAAGTCATTGGGCTGGTGGTCGATCATTTTTCGAGTCTACAGCTGCAGTACTAGAGGGAGATGACATGTGCTGGTCATGTGCTGGTCCTAAGCAACTAGCTCCTGCTCAGGACCAGCTTAGGACCATCATATGACCAGAAGTCATGCTTCAAAACATACCTAACCAGCATATGCTGTTTTTTTCAACAGGGTACTTATATTGTGAATTCTTTATTTCCTCAAGATTGCAATTCTTCTTTAAGACTCTTCCTTTCTCTTTCATATGCATTACATATCATCAAAACATGCTCCAATGTCTCTATTAAGCATCACTTTAACCTGTATTATGTTTCCCTGTAATGTGTAATGCATGGCTAGGATATAAATGTCCTGTTCGTAGATGTGTGGAAATGACTTGTTCCCTTCTGGTTATGTTATGAATGATTTTTCTTTATGCTCCTTTGTACCTTATGATAATGCCAACCTGTTTGACTTGAGTCCCAATGTGTCTGCCATTTCATATCACATGCTTCTAATATGTTTTTCTTCTGTTCTGCTGAGTGAAATATTTATACTTGGATTGTCCATCTTTAAGGATTCTTTGACCATTTTGTCTACCTTCTCATTACCCTAAATTCCCATGTGTTCTGGTACCCACAGAAAATGAGTTATTATTCCTATCTGTTTTATACTGTAAAATGTAATCATGATTTCTGATCAAATGTCACCTCTATTTGTTTCCAATGATTGTAAACTCATAAGAACTGCCATTGAGTCAGAACCAGGGTTTGAAATTAACACCCGCCAACCCGCCAAATGCTGCTCCAAATCAGCTGTGGCGGTTAATGTTGTCAAATCACTAGCCAATTTGGCAGGTTACTTTTCTTCACTCATTAAATTCTTGGGGAAGTTAATGTGAGCCAAATCTGCACAGATTTAGCGCAAATACTGAACTCGTGAGTCATAATGATAATATTAAATACAGCCTAATTGCGCATCATACCTAGCTTACTTGAACATACCCTACCCTTCAATACACAACAAATAATGGCGTGCTGGTTTCCTTTGCATTGAAGCAATAGCGAAGACTCAAAAAATGACTGAAAACTCAGACACTCTGTGATTTTCTTACTGTCCAGCTGAACTCTCCTGATATGATGCACTTTGATCCCACCAACGTCTTAAATTTAGATATATCAAATTTAAGGTCATAAAAGTCTTAAATTGTACAACAAAGTTTTAATT